GCCGACTCCTTCACCTCAGTCTGAGAATATCGACTCTAACGACTCGCAAGTCGAGACTCGAGCCCTGGGGCTGGCAGTGAGTCGTGTCGACGTCCACGCCATTCACCTTTTCATTCCCCGCCAATTCACCGGCCAAAGTGTTAAAGACGCTTCCATGGTCATCCCCACTGGCAAACGTACTAGTCAAAGGCCACAAAACTGGCAAACACATACCTCTACGCCATAAGAACGACATCCACAGGCATCCATTCCCTCTTCTCCTCTTCACCGTACCACGAAGTCCTACCACACTCACACAGTGCCACTATGCCCGTCTACGCCATCTTCAAGTGGTCAGGTGTCCCCGACGAAGTTCAAGCTTCCTAGCGTAGGCATAGTAGCTCTTCGCTAGTGCCGCCTTTGAGATCTCCGTCTTCCTTCACACACGTCTGAGAATGGGGGTAAGGATGGAGAGGACAATACCCCATGCATGCATCGAAGCGCTGGTACCCTTCCTTCGTCTACCATACCCACCCTCGGGGCCTCGAGTTACCAGAAGATCCAAAGAAGACCCGAAAATATGATCACCAATGCACCTATCCGCCTACTTCTCCTCCACAATCTGCGGAGCTGGAGCCAGTGGGGAGTTTCCGGACCCCAATTGACGCGTGATGTCACTGTGTTCGTCGAGGATAAACAGATAACAGGGAAGACGTTTTTTTGAACGAGGGTGATTTTGACAGGTACGTGTTCTTTTCCTTGGTTTTTCGCTTTCCCTTTTGTTGTTTTTATTTCTGCCTAGTGCTAATGATGGTTTGAATCAAAGGTCTACTCAAAATCCACCATCCCATCCTCCTCTCCGCCTCCTGTTCCCCCCCCCATCAAAATTGCTTTCGATGCTGGATATGGGGGTTCGGTTCGGCCACAACTTTCCCTCTTCACTGTATACAAAGGAAAGAGCCAGACGGTCGAACGGAAGGAGAAGAAAGGATAAAAACCGCCTCACCCACATCGTCTCCTGCCTTACCCGCACCCATACTTACGCCTATACATACAGGCCCTGGCTCGCACTCTCCGTTGGCACTACCTACGGTGTCTCTGTTTGTCTCTACTGTGTCACATTTCCTTCAACACGGGTTCACCGTTCGTTTTTACGCATTCTGGGTCCCCATTCACTGTCACAGCCACAGGCCTTCCGTTCGCTCAAGCTCCAATTGGATACCGCCATGCGCCTCTACATTGTCTTCCCTCCCAAGAGGATCTTCAGGTTCTGTGATCCCATTCCAATCCCGCTGGGTGTAGGCGGTCCAAGCCAACAACACGCATGTCCCCTTCCTCTCCCACCGCATGACGGACAATACCTTCTTTTAGCCCCCCCACCTCTTTCCGTGGGCTTTCCGTGGGTGCGTTACGAAGACAGTGACAGATTCTGGGTTTGTTATGCAGCATCCCAGGCCACAGCTTGGTGTTGGTTGGGAATCAATATGATGTTTCGAGGGAGTGTCAGGACCAGCACCAGGAACAGGGGGAGCGTCATCACCAGACTCAGACATATTACCAGAACCAGAAACAGAAACGGAAGGAGGGTACGATCATCCGAAGGTGGCGACGAGGAACCGAGCATGGCTGACCTCCTCCTCTCCCACCACTCTCCTGCTGCACACCATATCCCGATAATGGGAGCGGATGCGTGGGAGTTGGAGCTGGGTGAGACTTTTAGGCATGCATCTGCTGGTGGTGGAGGGAGTACAAGTTGTTAGGACTGGGAGAGGGAGGAAGGTTCGTGCAAAGGTTGAGGGGGGTAAATCTATTCAGGAGAAAGACGGAGATGAATGGAAAGGGAAGGAGGATGTGAAAGGGAAGGGGCAGGCTCAAGA